GAGCTGTGGGGAGGGGCAGAGGGAGAGGGAGAAGCAGACTCACTGCTGAGCAGGGAGCCCGATGCGGGGCTCAATCCCAGGACCTGGGATCATCACCTGAGCCGAAAGCAGACACTTAACCATCTGAGCCACCCAGGCACCCCTCTCCCTTGTGGTTTTCTTGATGTCCCACCCTGACTGCTGGACCTTGCCACCCACGCCTCTGCCATGAGCCCACAAAGCAGCAAGGTGACAAACATCTCTGAGACGGAGGAGTGGCCAGCCCCACACCACGCACACACTAGACCCTTGGCAAAGGGTGGACTCCAGGACAGGAGAACCTTCCAAGAGAAACTCGTGGGGCGTCTGGGCAGCCTTACCCACTGCTGACTGTCTGGGCAACCGTCCTCCCTGTGCAGGGAGAATGCTACAACCACGGACCGGGCATCGTGGCTCAGCCTCAGTGACACCTGTTTTTATGGCCCTGTTGCTAAGCTGGAGCCAACAGCTCCTTGTAGCCACGTGACACAGAAGAGGGAAGTCGGCAGTCCCTGAGGGGCTGTTCTTCACTCCCTCCAACTCCAGTGGGGCAAAAAATGTTTTCTTTTCCATTGCATAAAGATGCTTCCAAAGGTGACAAACCTAACACCACTAGGAGGAGGAGATAAAAGCCCTATGAGTGTGAGTGGGGAGCACAGTGGCTGCACGTCAGTGGCAGGACAGGCCAGCCAGCCATACCTGACCCCGCCAACACGCAACCGGAAGGAAAACAGGCTCTGACCAAAATCAGAGCCAGCACGTTTTGCAGGCAGGATCCCTCAGTCCTCACTCTGCCAAGACGGTCTAGGTAGTACTGCTCCAAGGGGGACAATCAGAGCAAAACACACGAGGTTGACCATCCCCCACCAAGCCCAGCCAGGCCCTCTCCACAGGGCTGCAGTGAGGAGCCAAGACAAGGAGAGAGGAAACCAGGTTTTGCAAGCTTTGAGGGGCTACATGGGTGTGAGAGGCTGGCGCTGCAGGTCTGGCCATCCGAATGAGCATGGGACACGTCACCAGAACCCAGGCCGGGAGGCCCAGCATGCCCTATGACTCAGAGCAGTGCCCTGACCTCAGCTCCTTGCTTTCTGTCCTGTCAAGGGAGACAGGAACCATGCTGACCCTCGTATGGGGCTGGCTGCCTGAGGTCCCCCTGAGAGGTCAGACAGCAGCGAGCAGAGAAAATTGTGCAGACCCTCCCATGTGCACGCTGGTGACACGGGGGCAGGGGGTGGTGACACAGGATGGCTTTGTAAGGGTCACCTCTGGCCCAGTGACTCCAGCAATGGGGAGTTATCATAAGGAAATAATCCTAATTAGAGAAAATTTTCTTTATGTATGTGGATATTAATCACAGTATAATTTATGATTGTAAACACACACACACAAAGTGCCAGGTAGCTGAGAACAGGGAAATGATAAAGTGAACTGAGGTTCATCTGCTCAATGGAACCATTCAAAAATTTTTCAAAGACGAGGATCACACAGAAAATGGTGATGAGTCCCATTAATGGAATATGTCATGACACAGCTTGCACCATTTCTTTCAACCTTTGAGCTTAAATGTTCAAGCTCATATTCTGATATGCACAGAAAGACTGAGGATGTTTTAAATCTATGACATAACTCCAACTTCACCTAAGTTTTTAAAAAGCTGCATGCTGGGAAAATATTAGAAGATAATGAAGGAATTCGTGTTTATGTAGTAGTAGAAGGGTAACTTTTTTCTATTTTAATGTAGTTTTCAGATATTTTTATTCTTATATATACTTTTAAAATAGAATAAGTAAATAGAGTGCCAGGGTGGCTCAGTAGGTTAAGCGTCTGCCTTCGGCTCAGGTCATGATCCCAGGGTCCTGGGATCGAGCCCCCATGTCAGGCTCCCTGCTCAGCGGAGAGCCTGCTTCTCCCTCTTCCTCTGCCCCTGCCTGTGTTCTCTCTCGCTCTTGCTCACGCTTGCTCTCCCTCTCACTCTCAAATAAATAAAATCTTAAAATAAAATAAGATAGAATAAGTAAACATATTTTCAGGGTAGTTCAGGTACAGAAGGGTGACCCCGCTGCTCCGGGAGGGGAGGGCGAGCACAGGCATCCACACAGAGAACTAACTGGGATGCCTGGGGCAAGCACCAGACAGGACCTCCTGAGGCGTAGCTCAGCAGAACATGAGCTGTTCTGACCCAGCCTTCCTGGGTGGGACCAAGGACTTGTGACCCACCCCACTCCCTTCTCCACTTTCCCAGAGGAAGAAGAACTCTGTGAAAGAAACAAATAACCAAAATAGCAAAAATATACCAATTATACAAGAACAAAACCATCAACAAAGCACAAAACAACAGTAGTTTCTATGATTTTAAAAAAAAAAAGGGAATACCAAAAAAGCAGCAATAAAGAGCCAGGACAAACTCAAGGCAGCACTAAGTGTGCTTGAAAACAAAGCATCCTTCCAAAAATCGCAGGATGTGCCGAAGGATCTGGCCAAGTGCCGGGCGGCAGCTAGACTGCTCAGCAGAGACGCCCAGACTCCGCAGGAATTCCAGGACTGCTTGTTTCGTTTTAGGACTATCAGATTTTAGTAACTCCTAGTAACTCTCTTCATAGGAAGTGGACTTTGGGCTGACGTAAAAGTGAATCTCCGGCAACACACTATCGTTTGCCTGAAGAACCCAAGAAAGGATTCGGTGTTTGGGCACCTCCGCTCCTTCCCCACCGGACACGGGCCCCTTGGGGGCATGAACCACACTTGGAGGGACACCAACATCTGATCTACTGCAAACACAGCAAAGCCTCGTCCCTGCAGACGCTGCCCCCCAGACAAGGCCAGGCTTCAGGGCAGGGCAAAGTCAGAGAGCAGAGGGGCGGCAGTCTGGGGGCTCCCTAAGTCCCATCATCTGCCTGGCCCTCCCTGGCGCTGTGAGGCACAGCTAGCTTCTGTGCCTTCACCATCCCCAAGGAGCTGTACTGCCCCTCGCTCTGGGCACCCCGAAGCCTGGCCTGGCCCAGAGTTTAGCACATGCTGGGTGGTGACCTACCAGCTGATGAGGGAGGGGCGAGGAAAGGGAGGGAGGGAGGGGAAAGTTGGCCATGCCTCCTCCCAGATCTCCTGCTGGCCCTCGCCAGTCCTTCCCTCACAGCATTTTGCCGAGCCAATCACGCATGCAGGACCACAGGACTGACCAGGCCCTGAAGGCCCCTCTCGTCAAGATGTTTCAAATTAGTTTAATCATGGAATCCTCTGAGCAGACAGAATCCTGCTCCAAAGCTTCATCTATGCAGCAATCAGGATGGACTGCTGGGCAGGGGGCAGGGGGCAGGGGTAGGAGAGAGGAGTCGGATAAAGGTAGAACCCCTCGTCCCTCAGCTCCCCAGGACCGCAGAAACTCACAGGGGGATTCCTGTAGGCCTGGACTCTTCCAAATACAAGCCAAAATAGCTCACTAGATGGGCTCCCTTCATTTTCTAGGTGGGGAAACTGAGGCCTAGAGAGGCAAAGTGGCTCAGCAAAGGCACGCAAGTGGCTGGTGGCAGGGCTGGGACTAGCACTATGTCTGTGTCCCTCTAGAATTCAGAACAGCGGGAACACCTTCCTTACACTGGCATCCCCCATGGCACCAGCATCGGTCCTACCCAGAGGAACCACTCACGGCACACTGGAGGGGACAGAGGAGATGCTGTTTAGAGAAGCAGGCCTCCAAGTCAGACTGACTGGGGCCCAAATCTCAGCCCTGACACTTAAATAGCTGTCTAACCCTGGCCAAGTCCCCTCCTCAGTCCCCTAGCTATGGTGGTGCAGGGCTGGTGGGAGGACTCGGTGAGCTCACAGAGCTGCACTGGCTACTGGGGAAGAATCACAAATGCTAGCTCTTCCCCGACACCCTCCTCTCTCCTTCTGATCCCTCCCTGCTCAGCAAATCTCCCTGAGCCTTGCCTTCCAGCAAGAGAACATTCAGACGCCTCTGTGGTACAGGGACTTGCCTTGTGGAGACAGAGTCACAGCCACGGTGGGCAGGCTCAAATTTCCTGGGGCGTCCAGGGACACCACACTGCCAAGGGGAACCCAGCTTCAATTCCCAGCTTACAGGCCCCTTCCAACACCAGTGGCTCCTGACCCCTCCTTCACCTCTGCTCCACTGGGCTGGAACAGCAGGTAACCACCAAATGGCCTAGCTGTCCCCTGGGCGATCAGGTTCTGCCTGGTCTGGCTGTTGAAACCCCAACAGTCACAGTTTAGGTCGTAGCTACCCCCAAGACCCCGGAACTCCCCTCTGCACCCCTAAGAGGCCCAGGTCATGGTTCATCATGGCCAGAAACTGACGGGCATATCCAGAGCTCCAGAATCAATCAAGGACCACCGGGAGGAAGAGAAGCCAGCAGCCTGGCACACCCCACTAACAAGAACCCTCCAAGGGCTCTAACCCAAGGGTGACCAGACCTGCTGGCACTGCCGCACGAGCCCAACCTGCCACAGACGAGACAATCAATCTCTTCTGCCCCGGAGGGGCCAAAGCCCAGAAAAGCCTCTGATTGATTGGGTGTCAAAGTTTCAGAAAACTGAGTTAGAATTTTCACTTCTCATATGTGGACTGGATATTTTAAAGTCAGATAAGTACAGGAACAAACTAGAGACAAGAGGGTCACAGATTTGGATGGAGGATCCTCTAGCCCAACCTGCCACTTTACAGATGAGCAAACTGAGTCCCGCGGCGGGTAGGGAATGTGTGCAGGCGCTGAGTCAGGCCCAGAGCCCAGATGCCTTGCTTGAGTCTGGAGATACCACACTGCACAACTTCCACTGTCCTCGTGAGTGGGGCCCAGCAGCTGTGCACCCCAGGGCCCTGCCCTTGAGTCTCTGTGCAGAAAGCTGTGACACAAAGGGCATGGCTGGCCCCCTCACCCTCTCCCTCGTGTCTCAGTGGAGCTCTTCTCTCTGATTCAGGGCACTGGCAGCTTTGAACCAGGGCTACTGGCGCGCATCCAGGTTACCTTTGGGCATAATCTGATGCATGGCGACCGAGAGGAAGAAGATGGAGTCGCTGTAGTAGGTCCCTGAGCCAGCACTGAAGTGCTTCTGCATGGCCTCCACCACCGGGAAGAGCTTGTCCGTCAGCACGCCAACATCATGGAAGACAACCTGCACAGGACACGAGGAAACCGCAGGAATGAGCAGACCCGCTCGAGACAGCCAGCACACACGCTGCCCTTCCAGGGGCCATGAGCAGGGCGGCCCAGGTGAGAGTTACGAAAATGAGGAACCACAGGGAGCCAGCAAAGGCTTGGCCGTGAGGACAGGGACACCACGTGTGAGAGTTGTGTAGGCATGCATGTCGGGGGAGCGCAGTGGAAGAGGAATGGGAGCCCTCCCCACTCTGCTTTCTGCTTCCGAACCCCAAGCTGGGCCACTCGGAAACGGGAAGCCACGTGAAAACGTCTGGTCCTGAGATTTGGGACCCTCCTCGAGTCTGGGCAGCTGGTGGCAGCCTTGGCATCGCCACGCCCAGCAACCACTCCATGTGTCCGATGCCCCACCTCCCCGTCCAACAGCGTGGACAGGGAGGGGACCCCCAGAAGACAGCCCCGGAAAACACCGAGTGCCACAGCCAACTCGTCCATCAATTCAACCAGCATTTCCTAAGGGCCCCAGACACTCTGGAGGTGTGGTGAGAGCTAGACGGAATAACCAGGCACCACTTCCTGCAAAACACCTGGGATCTAGAAAGGTCAGCAGCTACTGAACAGAGCTCTGCAAGTTATGAAACACTTTCACGCACCCCGATGCCCGTGACAACCTAGGACTTAGTGAGGCAGACGTCACTATTATAGCTCTATTATGATTACAGATTATTATCATTACAAATGAGAATGCAGATGCTCAAAAGAGGTTACACCTGCCCAAGGTCACAAAGCTACTAAGTGGCAGGGCCAGCACTTGAACTCTGGTCTCTGGATTCCAAGTCCCCCGCTCTTCCAGCTATAAATGCATCCTCTTTCTTAACAGCAACCACATCGGCATAAGCAGCAAACAGAATAGAAAGAGTACTAACAGGACCCTAAAGAGTTGGTTTTCCTTGGCTGACGTTATTCCAGATTATAAATTCATCCCACATGCAGCTACCAAATTACCATGCACTCTGCTCACATAAGTCTTGCACGTTTTCTCTTTTGCTCCGTGTGCCCCCCCCCCGACATCTGGAACACTCCACTGCACACCAGAGGCACTCAGTAAATACAGCCCAGGCCAGAAGCCTGATGTTCCTCCGCCTCCAGCCTCAGCCCTCACAAGAGGTCTGCTGAGGACCCCTCCGACCTCCCTTTTACCCTGGCAGCTCACAGGGAAAACCTCACCCTGCCAGGCTGCCACATATTGCTCAGCCACCACCATATGGACTCCAGGACACCAAGAGTGAGGGGAGAGGCCCCGCGACTCCCCTGACTGGCTTGTTTACCTGGTCAGGGGCTCTGCCGGGGGAGAAAAGACTGGTGAGGGCAGGGCCCTGAGGTTCTCAAGCAGGCGGGTGCCACCCCGTCATCTACGACTGCCCTTTCCTCGACCTGTCTCAGCTCATTCCCCGCCCGGCTTGTGCCTCCAGAACCTTCAGGCATCAGGTCATTAGAAGAACCACATTTCCCGGCCCAGCAGTGGGGGTCCACCGCCCTGTTCGCTTCTCCCGACTTTAGGTTCTACTTTTGGCAGAAACCTGTTTTTGTCTTCACTCACTTAAGTGTTTGCTTTTCTCTTTACTTGTGTTTCCGAAACACCATTACTCTTAGATAAACTTTTATACTGTGTTAGCGTCATTGTTCTTGTAACTCTTTGTCTTTTTCAAATGTATTCACGTTTCTCTCCTAATGAGCTATTTTCCTTTATCCTTTTCCTGACTCATTTTTTGACGTTTTCTTTTTCATGACTTCTCAGCCAGTTCTGCTATTCCCCAGTACAGATGCCCAACTATGCCTTTTACCTCCTACACCTCCCTTGCTCCCCTCACCCCACCCCGGTGACTTCCTGGCTGCGTGAGCACCACAAACTCTAGGTTTCCCACCTCCTGCCCTGTCCCCTCCAAACCTGCCTCTGTTGTGCCTCTCAAATAACCAAATACCCAACTTCCCTTCTCCCTCTCCTTGACTTCTAAACCTGCAATGGCTCACTGCCACCGGTCACAGTCCAAACTCCCCAGCAAGGCTTCAGAGACCCGGCCCTAGTGACCGCCTATCCCTTGCGCCCTCCCTCCTCTGGGGAGTGAGCAGAACTGAACCAGGCTGCCCCCACCCTGTCCTAGATCCTCGTATATTTGTACCTGCTCTTTGCACCGTGGGGAACCCCTCCCAGCCCCCATGTGCCTGGTAAACTCCTATCCAGTCTCCCAACCTGGCTCAGACACCGGCCCTGGCCTTGGCTCAGCGTCCCACAATTCATCACCTCCTCCTCGGCACCCTCCATCACCCGGATGGAGGCTCCGCTTCCCTGTCTGACTTCTCTACAAGCCTCTGGCGTTCACTGAAGCCAGACGCTATGGCTTCTCTGTGCCCCGTGCCCAGCCCCCGGCCACAGGACAGGCCACCACAGAGGTTTGTTGAACCAAATGAACTTACTAGCTTAGTAATGAAGCTACTAAACCAACCAGAGCCTGAAATACAGAAATGATAACACCTACCTCCTATGGTGGCTTTTAGGACCACCTGGGACAAGTAGAGAAAGCACCTAGTTCAGGGGCTGCCACACCGCGATTATTCCTAAGTATTAGCATTCTGCCCCCATCCCCATCCTCAGTCCCCTGAATCTCCTCATAAGCCAGCTTTTCCCTCTGAGCCTCATTACCCCTCCAAACATGGCTGGAAGTAGGAATTTGACAAGAAGCTAGAAGCTGACAAGAGGGCTCTCTCAGAAATGGAAGCCTCTGTATTCATTAAAAAGGAAGACAGAGAATGGATATGTGCAACCAAACACACACACGTACACGCTCAGAACAGAGCCTACCAAAGCCGAGCTGAGGGAGACAGCTTTCAGCAGCCAGCTTATTCCCTCACCCGGGCCCCCAGCTCACCCCAAAGCTTCACGGGAGACAATTACACCCTATCAGCATTAATAGATTTATGAGGACAAACTGTACTAAGTACATTGTTTCAAACGCTGCACACTGAAGCACCCGCTCCAATGAATATTTCATTTAATAAATCTACTTAAAGATAAATTAATATGTTCCATGGACACACAGCAAGAAGCAAACCACAGACACTCCAAGTGTGAAACACAACACCCAGGCCTCCCAATGTCTAAAACCAGTTTGCAAACTGTGACCTTCCAAGGGCAGAGTCGGAGTCAGGCACACTAGGAAGCCCCCAGCCCGGGGTCTGGTGCCCAGCAGGGGGCGGTGAGGCAAGAGAGATGGAAGGTGCAAAGTGGGGGGGGGGCGGGGGGCGGGTTAGAGAAAAGGTCACCCCTCCCACCATTCCTCCCCCCTTTCAAAACCCCAACCTCAAGGGCTGCAGGAAGAATTACCATATAACCTAGAAAACCAGGAGGAATATAAAGTGACTCCCATATCGATGGCAACTGGCCAATGAGAAGATCTAAAACAATGGTTTGGTTTGCACCAACTTGACTATACAATTTTGGGAGACTTAGATTAAAAAGTAAAATCACTATTTGTAACTTCTATAAATTTATTTATATATAAATACTTAAAATTAAAATCCTATTAAAGTACTATTTTTCCCACACCAGCTTACAAAATGATTTCTTTTTGAACTTCTCCTGTGCATGCTCCACATTAGTGCCTTTATCAACCCGAGGTGAGACATCCAGAGCCGTTTTCCGGGACACATCATCCTTGTCGTCCATTTAAGATACAGCTTCTTGTGAATTTATGTAGGATGGTGTCATTGGAAATGGTATCCCAACCCATGAGAATCCACGTTCATATCATCAAGCCATTAGTTTTTTTGTCAGCCTATAATTACATATTTGTAGCCACTTACTATCTTCCTTTTATTAGTGATCTTTAAAGGCTCACTTATATCAATATTCTACACTTGTAATTATGAAATTAAAACCCCAGGAAGGATGACTAAATCTGTGTTAAATTTCTTCGCCTCCTTTTATTTTTAATTAATTCTGTCAAGTGACTTCTAGAAGCACTTAAACTCAGTAATGACTGAGGTTGTTCCAGGCTAAGGTGTTCTCGAGCTGTACTTTGTGGTTCAAATAAAACATGTAGTTGAGAGAGCACTGAGTACAAGAGACTCTGGAAAGACTCAACTCTTTTGGAAAGGGCAAACTGGGGATGCGGGGAGAAGGGAAGCTTGCCTCCCATCCACCATGCACAGCACATTCTAGACACTTCCGATACAAGGAGACCCAAGCAACCAGAACAGCACAGTCTAGTGCCAGGGAGGGGGAGAGGTCTTTGCCAGGCTGGCCCTGGGCTCGCGGGCACAGACAGGCCTGAAGAGCCAGGCCACAGCTCCCCTCAGCACTCACTGAGGACATAAAGCAATGCCAAGTCTTAGCTCAACTTAGTGGAGAAAACTCATTGATCACTTGGCATGCCCCACAGGGAGTCAGGTCACACCATGATCTGGGAGCCAAGAAACCAGGTGACAGGGGCTGGCTCTGCACACAGATGCCAGGTTCCCAGGAAACACCAAGGCAAGGTCTGCTTGAAGAACAGTGACTCCTCCAGCCACGGACACAGTGGCACAGGATGGCAACATCACGTCCCCATGCTCAGCTAGAGACTGTCCCCAGAACTGCTGCTGGAGAGAAGAACGATAGCACAAAGCTAACATGCCTGGTGCACCTGCCACAGGCTGGAATCTATGTACTGCAGGAATGGCCAACGGGGTGTCCACTTGCCCCAAGGGGCAGCCTGGAGCACCGGGTAGGAAGGCTTCTGCAGCTGCATCTGGACTCAAGCCACCACCAGTACCAGTGTCCACCAGTGGGTGCGCAAACTCGACCCCCAGTGCTGTGGGTGCCCTGTTTCGGTCCCTCCCTAATGTGACTTCCATCACTTCTGCAAGATGTCCTAGATGTAATTTAATCTTGCCAGGCAGAAGCACAAACAGCTGAAGAGGAAAAAGGAAGCCTGCCCGTCTAATTCCCAAAGAATTTCCAACATCCAAGCTCATGAC